CTTCAAATAAGATCTCTATAGTAGCAACAATTTTGAATAAAAGATACTCCCTCTATAAACAAATATAAGACGTTTTGGATCACTAAAATTATATGTTCACACTTATACCAGTGTGAAAACTGAATGAGGATCAATTTTATTTTAGATAAACGTGCATTTGCACGTGTACGATTACTAGTACCTCATAGGTCATGCTGTCTATACATTTGCCCCATATGTAAATGTTGGACAATAACATGTCGTGCTTCATAAAATCTTGAAAGATCCATCAATGCAACATGATGTATTGACACATTGGTTACATCAGATACATGTATTCCAACAAACATCCCTAATAAAAAGCAAGCCCGGATATGTAGAAGTACAGTGAGGTACGTATTAATGTATGTAGACACTATTTTCCAACAACAGTAGTCAACAAGCAACACAAAATAGAAAACTTGTCACATATCACAACAATGAAAACAACTGTTTTCATTTGTCTTGGCCAAAATTAAGGTTTGATATTCATGCAACACATATTGCAAGAAAAAAAGACATGATAGAGGGCTCACTAAAAATGGTTAGGTAATTTGATTTATAGAACTTGATGATTGAAGCACTTCAAGTAAAACAAAGGTCCAGAACTTCAACAACTAAGGGCAATAATTGGCAATGTTGTCTTGAAAAAATATCTCAGACATCAATTTTGTAGTCATGGGTATGAAATTGTGCTTCCAGCATGGGTATGAAGCATGCAGAATCTAGTCTCAACATGTTCGACATCACCTGAACATCATCATATCTGCAACCAATAAAAAAATTATATAAGTGCAGCAGCTATAGAAACATCTCAGATCGCCAGTGAAATTATATAAATGCTGCTCCTGATTGTCGTGAAATTTCTGCACCAGAGGGAACAAAACAGTACAAAGAGGAACAGAGAAGGGAGAGATGGTGTTGTTGTGGGACGTCCGTTGTTGTGCACCCTGGGCCCTCACCTCCCGGCCCTGCAACATCAAACCACGGCCACTGCAGGGCAATGACAAATGTCCCTCTCCCTCGCTCTAAGCTCTAGCGACACAAGCCAAACAAGCTAGTAGAACCGACCAATTTTTTCTACAAGCCAGAGCTGGATGACCTCCACAGGATATTGCAGCGTGAGATTTTGGTAGACATCCGCTTTGCCAACTCCATTGCGGCGGCGCGACCTTAGCCCGTTAGCCACGGGCGTCCTCCGGCCACCGCCGCACCGCCACCCCACGCATCGATGATGGAGATCGGTTCTACAGGAAAACCCTCGATTTCAAGCCGCTTTAGGATTTATGGTTGGGGAGGGGCTTGGGGGAGTTGCTGCGGCCTGCAAGCGTGGTCGATGGAGAAGGAGAAGCCGTCGACGGTGGTGATCGTCTACGTACGCCATAGGTGGGAGGATTGGGCGGCGGATGATCGGAACGAGTTCCTTGATGGCAGTCTCGAAGGAGTTGGATCGAAGGAGGATTTGGATTGAGAGGGGCGATGGCGGCGGCGGTGGAGGGAAGGGGGCACGGGCGGATGGGGATGCGAGGGGGCCTCGCTCCCGGTTCGTCTGGTTTTTTGTCCGTGGGGGACGGGACAAAAAAACAATCTACGAAAAAAAAACCAGCGAAGGTGGGACGAAAAAAGTCATAATAGATGGGACGAAAATTGACCGACGAAGACTACCAACTGCTTCATTAAAAGTAAAGATGTAGGGAAACCACAGGGACCCGGGCCATGGCGAGAGAAAACACTGAACTGCTATGAAATCTCCACGTGCATTAAAAGAGTTTCACGGGACACCATCATTAATTGGCCATTCTAGAGCCATCCGTGGCAGCATCAGTAAGAGTACGCTTTATATTAAGTCTAAACTGGCATTAATTTCTGAAGTACTACTACTGTAGTCTGTAGTACCCCCTTCGTTTCTAAATCTAAGTTTTTTTAAAAGATTTCAGTATGATACATATAGAGTAGATGTCTAAATCGACACTCAAAAAATGAATTTATGTAGATTAATATGTAGTTTATATTAAAATCTCTCTAAAAAGGTTTATATTTAGAAACGGGGGGATAGATGATAAAGAACGTACGATCACGTACTTCATTCTCCACCGAAAGGCTCAGAAATGAATTATCGATACTAGAGTGCGGCGTTTCGATGCCTAGACTCATCTACACCTGGTCAGGAAAAAAATCAAAACAAATACTATAAAAAATCAACAAATTCTAAAAAACTTTTGTGTAGTAGATAATTTGATGCGTGAGGTTCGCTTCAATTTTTAAATCATTTGAACATCTGAGTAGCTCTCAGCAAAAAAGACAAATCGGGTCAGAACAGTATATAAACAGTAAACTGTTTTTCCTATTGATGTTTGCTGTGAACGATGTGAATATATTCCCTTAAAAAAAACCGTGTGAATATATTTGGATGGTTTCATCTTCAAATAAGATCTCTATAGTAGCAACAATTTTGAATAAAAGATACTCCCTCTATAAACAAATATAAGACGTTTTGGATCACTAAAATTATATGTTCACACTTATACCAGTGTGAAAACTGAATGAGGATCAATTTTATTTTAGATAAACGTGCATTTGCACGTGTACGATTACTAGTACCTCATAGGTCATGCTGTCTATACATTTGCCCCATATGTAAATGTTGGACAATAACATGTCGTGCTTCATAAAATCTTGAAAGATCCATCAATGCAACATGATGTATTGACACATTGGTTACATCAGATACATGTATTCCAACAAACATCCCTAATAAAAAGCAAGCCCGGATATGTAGAAGTACAGTGGGGTACGTATTAATGTATGTAGACACTATTTTCCAACAACAGTAGTCAACAAGCAACACAAAATAGAAAACTTGTCACATATCACAACAATGAAAACAACTGTTTCATTTGTCTTTGCCAAAATTAAGGTTTGCTATTCATGCAACACATATTGCAAGAAAAAAAGACATGATAGAGGGCTCACTAAAAATGGTTAGGTAATTTGATTTATAGAACTTGATGATTGAAGCACTTCAAGTAAAACAAAGGTCCAGAACTTCAACAACTAAGGGCAATAATTGGCAATGTTGTCTTGAAAAAATATCTCAGACATCAATTTTGTAGTCATGGGTATGAAATTTGCTTCCAGCATGGGTATGAAGCATGCAGAATCTAGTCTCAACATGTTCGACATCACCTGAACATCATCATATCTGCAACCAATAAAAAAATTATATAAGTGCAGCAGCTATAGAAACATCTCAGATCACCACTGAAATTATATAAATGCTGCTCCTGATTGTCGTGAAATTTCTGCACCAGAGGGAACAAAACAGTACAAAGAGGAACAGAGAAGGGAGAGATGGTGTTGTTGTGGGACGTCCGTTGTTGTGCACCCTGGGCCCTCACCTCCCGGCCCTGCAACATCAAACCACGGCCACTGCAGGGCAATGACAAATGTCCCTCTCCCTCGCTCTAAGCTCTAGCGACACAAGCCAAACAAGCTAGTAGAACCGACCAATTTTTTCTACAAGCCAGAGCTGGATGACCTCCACAGGATATTGCAGCGTGAGATTTTGGTAGACATCCGCTTTGCCAACTCCATTGCGGCGGCGCGACCTTAGCCCGTTAGCCACGGGCGTCCTCCGGCCACCGCCGCACCGCCACCCCACGCATCGATGATGGAGATCGGTTCCACAGGGAAACCCTTGATTTCAAGCCGCTTTAGGATTTATGGTTGGGGAGGGGCTTGGGGGAGTTGCTGCGGCCTGCAAGCGTGGTCGATGGAGAAGGAGAAGCCGTCGAAGGTGGTGATCGTCTACGTACGCCATAGGTGGGAGGATTGGGCGGCGGATGATCGGAACGAGTTCCGTGATGGCAGTCTCGAAAATTGACGTGGGGGACGGGACAAAAAAACAATCTACGAAAAAAAAACCAGCGAAGGTGGGACGAAAAAAATCATAATAGATGGGACAAAAATTGACCGACGAAGACTACCAACTGCTTCATTAAAAGTAAAGATGTAGGGAAACCACAGGGACCCGGGCCATGGCGAGAGAAAACACTGAACTGCTATGAAATCTCCACGTGCATTAAAAGAGTTTCACGTGACACCATCATTAATTGGCCATTCTAGAGCCATCCGTGGCAGCATCAGTAAGAGTACGCTTTATATTAAGTCTAAACTGGCATTAATTTCTGAAGTACTACTACTGTAGTCTGTAGTACCCCCTTCGTTTCTAAATCTAAGTTTTTTTAAAAGATTTCAGTATGATACATATAGAGTAGATGTCTAAATCGACACTCAAAAAATGAATTTATGTAGATTAATATGTAGTTTATAAAATCTCTCTAAAAAGGTTTATATTTAGAAACGGGGGGATAGATGATAAAGAACGTACGATCACGTACTTCATTCTCCACCGAAAGGCTCAGAAATGAATTATCGATACTAGAGTGCGGCGTTTCGATGCCTAGACTCATCTACACCTGGTCAGGAAAAAATTCAAAACAAATACTAGAAAAAATCAACAAATTCTAAAAAACTTTTGTGTAGTAGATAATTTGATGTGTGAGGTTCGCTTCAATCTTTAAATCATTTGAACATCTGAGTAGCTCTCAGGAAAAAAGACAAATCGGGTCAGAACAGTATATAAACAGTAAACTATTTTACAGACCCCGAATTTGTCTTTTTTGTTAAGAGCTGCTCAGGTGTCGAAATGATTTGAAAATTAAAGCGAACCTCACACAAAAATTATCTACCATAAAAAAATTGAATTTTTTTAGTATTTATTTAAAAAAAATTCGTGAGCGAGGGTGCAGATGAGCCTGTGCTCAGAAATGAATTGTCGATACTATTACTACTTCATTAGGCGGGCATCTGTACCACGCGTCAAGAATGAAACGACACACAGCGTGCACGCACGCGCGCGCACTATATATATGGGCTTGCACACGCCCCATGAGATCAAACAATACAATTCCATATTCACCATGCAGCAGTCTCCTAATAATGTGGCTCCCAACACCAAACACCCACCACCTTCCTTGGTCCGTGCTGGAGCTAGAGCCAACTGGTTCCGCTCCGGCCACCTCGCCATGATCTCCGGCCAATCACGTCGAACCCGCCGTGTGAAGGCCCTTGCCGTCCCTGCGTCTGGCTCCCGGGACGTCTGCAGCGACAACATCAGCCAAGAAATAAAACCAAGGTTCTTCCGGATGAAATTAGTTTTCCAATAATTTGTTGACTTAGGATGCAAATCTGTGATCTTCAGGATACCCTCTCGCCCTCTTTATTAGTTCAACCAAATGAACAAGAATTTCAAGAGTGAAATAATTGAACTAATTAAAAAGGCCATCCATGGGGGTACCATTTGCACCTCTCAAAGAACATTTGGTCCAATAGCTTCGTGTCTTTTAACAAAGTACTCAAGGCGATACAAGCAAAACGAGTTCACGCCTACCCTCTGCATAGTCCAATGGCTTCATATATTTGTGTTTTTGGCGTTGCATGCAGTTCAATTAGGGCGGACAAGTTCTTCCAAGTGGAGATGACCGTTCGTGACAACGATCTTGACCAGTATGGAGTCGTTAACAACGCCATTTATGTCGCTTATATCCACAACGGTTGGCATCCAAGTGACATTTAAGCATAGTAGAGCTTGGGTTTTACTCTTGTACACAGTGTTGATTCTTGCTTAAAATCACATGCAGCTCGAGAGGAGCTGGCTGCGAGCATTGGCTTCAGCATGGCCTCCGTAGCACGCACAGGCAACGCGATGGCACTCTTGGAACTGAACCTCAAGTACTTCAAGCCTCTACTGGTATGTGCATGGCACGTCTGAAATCTCTTCTTTCTGAGAGTGTCACATCCGAAACCTCTAAGGCTCTGCTCGCAGTGGTTGTAAAATCAGTGTGGCCACCGGTATCTAGCTCAATTTTGAACTAAATACCGGTGACCATGCTAATTTTACAATCATTCCAAGCAGCCCCTAAGGTTGGAAATCTCGAGGTTCTTATTTCCAAGCCCCAAAATCTCTTTTAATAACCATGTGCATTGATTATTATCCAGCAAGGCGCCAAATTTGTCGTCAAGGTTAGGGTTGTCCAGATAAAGGGTGCGAGGATACTTGTTGAACATTTCATCGAGACACTACCGGGTCATGAGGTATGTGCAGAAACGATGGATATTGAACGCGCCGTTTCCCTTATAGTGATCAGTCCCTCCTACTGATCAACCCCACGCGTGCGTGTGTGTTGATCTCCTCTAATGGCAGCTTATTTTGGAAGCGACGGCGACCGTCGTCTGCCTCAACAAGGACTACCGTCCGACCCGCGTCTTCCCGGAGATGTCATCCAAGCTGCAGCAATTCTTCTCAACCCGGGACGGCTAGCGTGAAGATCAGCTTACAAACTATCTTGTGCGTGCGTATATGTGTCTCAAATGAATAAAAGTGCATTTACATTACGTGGCGTGTGGGAGGCTCTCCAAAAGAAAATTCATTATTGGTTCTAGGCCAAATTTTCATTAATCCCGTGCTCATGCAAGGAGCTACGTAGAGGCTGAAGATCAGTGGAACATCACCTCAGTTGTCGCTAGGTCCAAAGAAAGAAAACCGAAGAAAAACTTTCACCGTCGAACTCATTATTCAAAATCATCTGCAAAAATATATATATATTCAAAAACAAGTTATTGAGAAACGATTATGCTTTTATGTGCATTTTGTGGAGGCGAAATATTATATCCAAGTTATGAAACTACACAACGAGCTTGAAACAACTCCTTCAACGACCCATATATGCACAAGTTTGCCATGGGCAACCATCACCATCGTTTGTCGGCTATTAGCAATATGCACAAATCAAGCAATAACTTTATGCAAACCAGAATCGATACAGTTGATACAACAATGAGCAACTTGTTTCTTGACAATATACAACCACGAGCAACTTGTTTCTTGACAATATACAACCACGAGCAACTTAAGTGACCACATGTCGCCATGCCTGAAAAATATGGCTTCATGTGCTGTTTCCTGGACAAATCAATGCATGATATGATGGGTAATATGGCCCGACAAATACTATATGAGTAGCACTAGCACAGCCTCAGATTGGCTGACATAACGTCAGATGACTTAGGTCACTGACATGTGGGGTCACAAACCTAAGTTAATCCTAACCAGCATCACACATAAGCACTGAGCTTGAAAAAAATATGTGACAGACGGAAGAAAACAAACGCAGCTAATGAGTCATAAACTAGTATCTTGATTGTAATTAGTATAACTAACAAAGCTGAATATAAGTTTTTTTTTGAAAAAACTTTCGATCTATTCATTAACTATCAAGGAAGTACAACAAACATCAGAAGTAAAAATTGCATCTAAGTCGGTAGCCTACCTAGCTACGATTACAAGCACTGGAGCGAGCCGAAGGCACGCCGTCCTCATCGCCCTTTCATCATCGGAGCCGAGCAAAACCTTGTTGTACTAGATAGTCTGGAAGTCGTCGGGCTAAGGGCCCAGGGACCCGCACACCGCAACAGCAACCGCCGCCAATGAAGAGAAGCGTAGATCGGAAGGATCCTACTTGTAGACACACGAAAATAGATAAACAAGGATCAGATCCACCGAAGACAAAAATCGACCGAATCTCGCGAGATCCGCCAGAGACAAACCTCCACATGCCCTACGACGATGCTAGAAGCATATCAGGGCGGGGCTAGACGGGGAGAACCTTATTGCATCTTCAGAGAGTTGTCACCGTCTCGTCTTCCTGAGCAGGACACAAATCCTACGAAAACTCAAAAAACACCTAAAAAGGGGCCATTTCGCCAGCAAGGATCGGGATCCACCGCTCCTCTAGCCTCTAGGCATGGCCCTAAAGCCACATGAGACGAGGCAACCCGGCGGCTGTGCTGCAGGAGGTAGCAGAAAACCTAAGTTGTGTGCGTTGTGCGCGTTAGTAGCGAGGATAAGCTGTGAACTAATCCCGTGCTCATGCATCGAGCTACGTAGAAGCTGAAGATCACTGAAACATCACCTCAATTGTCGCTAGGTCCAACGAAAGAAAGCCAGACAAAAACTTTCACCGTCAAAATCATCCACAAAATATATATTCAAAAACAACTTATAGAGAAACGATGATGCTTTTTATGTGCATTTTGTGGAGGCGGAATATTATATCCAAGTTACGAAACTACAGACGAGCTTGAAACAACTCCTTCAACGACCGATATATGCACAAGTTTGCCATGGGCAACCATCACCATCTTTTGTCGGCTGTTAGCAATATGCACAAATCAAGTAATAACTTTATGCAAACCAGAATCAATACAGTTGATACAACAATGAGCAACTTGTTTCTTGACAATATACAAGAATGAGCAACTTGCTTTTTGACAATATACAACAACGAGCAACTTAAGTGACCACATGTCGCCATGTCTAAAAAATATGGCTCCATGGGCTGTTTCCTGGACAAATCAATGCATGACATGATGGGTAATATGGCCCGACAACAACTATATGAGTCGCACGGGCTTAGATTGGCTAACATAACATCAGCTGGCTTGGAGCAGCGAGTTGCTACCCCAAGCACCAGCTTGGAGTGATGACTTGCTCCTGCGCTTCCCCGCCTGCAACCACACCCATGATACTGACGGCTTGGGGTGGCGGGGGAGGTGGAGTAGCGAGTTGCCTTGCTCGTATCCGGCTGGCTCGATGGGCCACCCAACTAGTTTTTATGGCGGAGAACTCCTCTTTCTGCTCGTCAGATGCCATTGAAAGTGTTGAGAGTCTGGTGCAAGGAGGAGATGTGGAGCTGAGGTGTGGTGCAGTTCTTACCCGGCGTCTGGCCTCGTTTAAATAGTGGGCAGATGAGAGGAGCCAATCAACACTGTGTTTAATGCCGGCCGGCTTGCGAACGGACGTGTGGCCGAAGTAGGTTTTCCTTGGCACACGCGCGGGTTCAATGCAGATAGGAAACCGCTTGAATGCGGCGAGGAGGCCTGTTTAGCTAGTCGTGCAGCGGTCGGCGCTCTCTCGATTGACGTTTCGCTTCAATACCGGCAATGAGAGGTCGCGTCCGCTCTGGGCCGGCGTCAATGTGGGCGGCCGCTCTACCAGCGACATAAATGTGGGGCAGCTGGCGTCAGGCGGGAAAGCACGCTGACGAGGAAGAAAGGTTTTAGATGGGACAAATTAGTCAAACGAAGACGTGGCAGCGGTTCGGGCACCCATAACCCTCACTTTTGTCTTCGATTTACGAGAGAAAATATATTGGAATCATAGAGCAGACCGATACATGACCGTATTGAATAATAAAACACGTCCGTGCCTGTCCCGATGTACCCGGGTAATTTTTTTGCGGGAAATTACTTGTATTACTCATGTAGCCGAGCTACTAGCGGAATTACACAGTTTAACGACCTCATCAGGTCCAGATCCGAGCCACACCATGGTACGACCCGTAGTTCTACCAAAAGATGCCAACAAATGGTTTACATTGTTTTGACTACGATAAATGTGAGTAATACAAGAATTTCGTTGATCCATGAGTATTTTGATTTCATGAACCATGAAACTGTTCGCAGATCTATCCATTTCTCCCTTCTTCAATAGATTGATAGCCTCCAAGCAATCGGACTCAATGTCTATAGGTAGCTCGCTCCATTGTAAAGCAAGTGACAGACCCTCTCTGATGGCTGCAAGTTCAGACTCTAAAGCATTGAGGCAATGGTACAGATGATGACAAGCACTGAGGACTATATTACCGTTGTGATCACGCAAGATCATGCCGCTGCCAGCAGTACCGTCCGCCGAAACAAAGGAGCCATCTGTATTGAGTTTCAATCGTCCTTCTTCAGGTCTCAGCCACATAGCTGGTGGAATTACCAGTTCAGACGTAGCCGCAGGTGCAACAGAAAAAGAACAATCCAGCATAGCAGATTTTCCCTTCAAGGGGTCTTTCTCTTGCTCTTTGGCGATTGTCAAAATGGACTGAACATAGCTTCTAAGAAAGCGTACAGAAACCTGAACTGGCGGTGCTGGTTTATCATGTACTACCTCATTCCGAACATACAAAATTCTCCATAAGAGCATAACCAGGTGCAGGCGCTGCTCATCAGGCAATTTGCACAGGGCATGGAGAAGCCATTCCGGGCCCGTATTCATCATGTCTTTAAGATCGGGAATAGGCCAAATATCAGCCATTGCAAGCCAAAGATTCCTGGCATTGGAACATCGACACAAAGCATAAAACGTGTCCTCTTTTTCAGTGCCACAAATTGAACATAAATCCACAACCTCCAGCTTCCTAGCATGTACCCGGGTAATTTGAGGGTCGATGCCCTTCCAACGCACACTCAGTTCACCGCGATTATTTGTTTAGTGTTTATTACACATGCTCTTGGTTGATATACGGTTACCTCCAATTTATCATCCTTCCCCCGGCTCGACCTATTCCTTGCTCTGACTGACCCGTGGACCCGTCTACGGCAGACCCCACACGTCAACCGCATAGCAGAAATCCTTACGGAACCCAAGCATTCGTACCCAGACGAGCCCCATCGCGTTCCGTAACCGCATAACCACCGTCCACTCCCGTCCCACTCCTCCCTCCCTCCCAGATCAATCAACCAAGCCCAAAAATGGCGCAGCTGCAGGAGACGTACGCGTGCTCGCCGGCGACGGAGCGCGGGCGCGGGATCCTGCTGGCGGGGGACGCCAAGACGGAGACCATCGCCTACTGCTCCGGCCGCAGCGTCATCTTCCGCCGCCTCGACGCGCCGCTCGACGCCTGGGCCTACACGGAGCACGCCTACCCGACCACCGTCGCCCGCTTCTCCCCCAACGGCGAGTGGGTCGCCTCCGCCGACGCCTCCGGCTGCGTCCGCGTCTGGGGCCGCAACGGCGACCGCGCCCTCAAGGCCGAGTTCCGCCCCATCACCGGCCGCGTCGACGACCTCCGATGGTCCCCCGACGGCATGCGCATCGTCGTCTCCGGGGACGGCAAGGGCAAGTCCCTCGTCCGCGCCTTCATGTAAGCGGATCGCGCGCGCGCACCTGCCCGCTCTCTTCCCTTCCGCATCGATCTCGGTCTGGAAGGATTTGGGGATTAGGCATGCGCAATTTTTTTTATCATCGATCTGTCAATTAGGATGTGCACATCTAGCTAATGCTAGTATATGAGAGTGATTTATGATAGACATCACATGGTGGAGTCGCAGATTAGAAGGATAACGTGCCATTGACATTGGGGTTATAGATCCCCTGTAATTACAATGATCATAAGGCAGGTAACACAATTTGTTGTCATGATCTGCCCCTAAGAAGTCAATTCTGGAATGCATTCTGCGAGGATTTCCCCCCTTCCTGTAATTGGGGTGACT